ATGCAATCTTTAGCGTTTAGGGTTTGTTTCATTTGTGTTCTGACCTATCTTATATCCTTCTCTCACTTTCAGGTTTGTGTAATGGATCTGAGCTGGCTTTCCTTACGCAGCCCAGCGATGTGATCGCGGTGCGGGACAGACCGTTGATGCTGGACTGCAGGGTGGAAGGCGAGGGTCCCATCACGGTGACGTGGCATAGGAACGGAGCGCCCCTGCTTCCGGGAGTTGGCAGCCGGGCGAAGATCCTATCCAACGGCACGCTCCTGATCCGCAGCTTCCAGAAGAGACGGGACGGAGATACGAGCGATGCTGGAGAGTATTACTGCGCTGCACAGAACCACTACGGCATGCTGGTCAGCCGCAAGGCCCGTGTGCAGCTCGCATGTGAGTGACTGAGGAGAGACATGGGCAGCTAATGAAATAATTCACTATGATATGAAATCGTATGCTTTTATTTGCTTATGTGAAAAATACAGTGGCATAGTGGCAGCACCAATGTCCACTTACTCCTGGTCTCTGCTTTTACTCAATCCTTTCCCATTTTTCCTTTGGCTCTCCCTTTGGTCCTATAAAAGCAGTAGGGTGGGTGATAATCCTGTAGAATTATAGTTGTCACTACATGCTTCCCTAGAAGGTACTACGTTACCATGGCAATGAACTCTCATTGGGAGGCCCTTCTTCTAACGCCCCTATCCATTGATTATATGAACGACCAGGCTATTTAGACCACAATGCTCTTGGCCCCTCATCCTTACGTCCTCAATGAAAATCAACATTTTAGATGCCAATATCAAGTTATCATGGTAACTTCACATATGTGAAAGTAAGAATAATTTTTTACAGTATGTGCTTGCAATGTGCTTACAGTGTACTTACCAAGTACTTAGGAATATAAGATAACTACATGGGTTAGGATGAGGTTTAAGGGTAGGTTCTGCACTACTTATTAGGCTACCAAGTTATTGTAATTGCTACAATAAATATATACTGTAGTATGTAAATGCGAAACCAGAATACTTGTTATACCACAAAATAATCTTTTAAATAAATTGGTTTATCTTGTTTTTTTTAATGAAATATCTAGAAAATAATCAAATGTTAAATACAAATATCTTCAAAACAGGATACATTTACTTGACATGCAAAATCATGAAGAGAATATACCCTGAAACCTCACAGTTTTATTACATGTATGCTTAATATAATACAATTATGTAAGTATACAATTATATTTATGATTAAACGTATTTCTGTAAATGTTTTAAGGAAGCCTCTTGTACATCTATTTGATCAAAAATACAGTAAAAACAAATATTGTGAAGTATTATTCCAATTTTCATTTTACCTTACATATTTAAAAATTGTAATTTATTCCTGTCATGCAAAGCTGAATTGTAGCAGTATTACTCCAGTCTTCTTCAGTGTTATATATGTTGTGCTGCTTAAAGGAGTAGTTCACTTCTGAAAAAAAACTTTTGCTGATAATTTACTCACCCCCATGTCATCCAAGATGTCCATGTCTTTCTTTCTTCAGTCGAAAAGAAATTAAGGTTTTTGATGAAAACATTCCAGGGTTTTTCTCCATATTCAACGAACGGAACGAACGAATTGACTCGGAAAAAGATTTGTTCATTTTAAAACTTTTTTTTTTTTAAATGAGCGATCGTTTCACTTGATATGACCCCTATTCATAGTCTGGAATCGTTTAAAGCCCTTTGAACAGTTTGCACTGAAACTGTCTTTTGAACCTTGAACCATTTGGTACCCACTGAAGTCCATTATATGGAGTGTTTTCATCAAAAACCTTCATTTCTTTTCGACTGAAGAAAGAAAGACATGGACATCTTGGATGACATGGGGGTGAGTAAATTATCAGCAAAAGTTTTTTGAAAAGTGAACTACTCCTTTAATATTTTTGTGTAAATTATGATACATGTTTATCAAGATTCTTCGATGAATGGAACATTCAAAAGAATACACAAAAGAACATATCTCACTCAACTGATATTAATTATAATTTATATTTATTATATGGCTTATAACTCACTCAATTCTCTTCGTCCCACAGCTCTCCCTAAATTCCATACTCACCCAGACTCCATGTCAGTAGACGAGGGAGGTGTTGCACGTTTCCAGTGTCAGGTCAATGGCATTCCTGAGGCCAGCATCACTTGGGAGAAGGACCGTGTTGTGCTTGGAACCTCTGATGACAGGTAACATGGTCCTAGCAAACAGTCTTTCTTTATTTTGTTCCTGACAATTGCTAATTCGTGTTACTCTTTCTCCACAGGTACACACTTCTCCCAATGGGTATTCTGCAGATTACAGGAGTTAAGAAATCAGATGCTGGCATCTACCGCTGTGTCGCCACCAATACCGCCAACACCCGCTACAGCCATGAAGCATATCTGAACGTAACCGGTCAGTAGTCAACCTTGATCTGACCAACACCCCAGATTGCATGTACATACTGTTCATCCAGTAAATAGGGCCTAAATTATGTTTGTATTGAACACATGTGGTTATTTGAAGGACACAACCAGAACATTGATTACCTCAAATATCAGGATGTCAAATGTCATCCTAATAAAATCATCTCTTTATTTGTTCTTCTACGCTCAGGAGGTGTCCCTCGCACCTATAAGGAACCATTCATCCTGTCCGGCCCACAGAACCTCACCATTACCGTCCATCAGACCGCCATCCTGGAGTGTATCGCCACCGGAAACCCTCGCCCGATTGTATCTTGGAGTAGACTTGGTAGGAATCCTCATACTTAAACTGTCCAAGGACAACTGAGTGTGTTCACACTTGGCAGGTTTGGTTCGATTACAACGAACCTTGGTGCGATTCCTCTGTTAGTCCAAACTCTGTCCTCTTCCAATCGAACTCTGGTGCGGTTCGACTGAAATATGAACACAACATGAACCAAAGACATGTAACAAACCCAAAACAGGACGCGATGTCACAAGATGCGACCCTAAAAAGGACAGAATGCTCAAGAATACCTGGTTCTTCTCGTCATAGTCCCGATGCTGTCCATTACAGTTCAGTTCATTTAGTCCAGCACAGCATTGTTTTGGATGTTCAATAAGTCGCAAAATCTACGTTTTTGTTTTGTGGATTTAGGTTCAGACAGTGTGAATGCTACCCGAACCTAAATGTATCTTCTTCTTCTTTGGTCCAGACCAAAAGAGCCAAGAGAAATTAACTACAAGTGTGAACGCACCCTTAGTTATTTTCTAGTTCTGTTCTCCTCATAATTCATTTCCTTCTCATAATCCATTTCCATCAGATGGCCGATCGATCGGAGTGGAGGGCATACAGGTGCTGGGCACGGGGAACCTGATGATCTCGGATGTCTCCCTTCAGCACTCTGGAGTATATGTGTGTGCTGCCAACCGGCCCGGCACCAGGATGAGGCGTACCGCTCTGGGCAGGCTGGTCGTGCAAGGTAACAGAAATCCAAAGATATTAATTTTTGACTAAAATGACCCATCTTCCACTCAAGCTTAAAAGCCTTTTTATTATTCCTCTTCATTTTTTTTTAAATTTTTAACAATTTTTTAAATGTTTTTGAAAGTCTATTCTGCTAACTACAAGTAACTCTGAAACTACATGTCAACTAACTCTCATTAGAGTATTAGTAGACTGTTAGGGTTTGGGTTAGGAGAACATGTAGTTGCAACGTTTCTTCTAGTCAGTTGAATGTCTTTTGAGGAGCATCAAAATAAAGAGTTAGCAGATATTAATCAGTCTACAAATACTCTGATGACTGCTAGTCGACATGTAGTTGCAGTAACTTATAGTTGGTACACTGTAAAAAAATATTTTCAAGATTTGTTATCACAACATTTTTTTCTTTTGTCAAATCAACTTAAATCATTTATTTAGTTCATATAACTTATTATTTTGAGTTTCTGATGATTAAATTAATCTCCTTCATTGTATTAACTCACTTTTTACAGTTCAATCAACTTAAAATTTTAAGGCAACCAGGTTACTTACTTTTTTAAGTTAAACCAACAATATTTTTTTACAGTGGACCATGGAAAAAAAGTATTACCTTATAATTTAAAATAACTGTTTTCTATTTTAATATCCGCTTGATTACAAAGTCGTCAGTGTCGCATGATCCTTCAGAAATCATTGTGATATGCTGATTTGGTGAAACATTTCTTATTTTTTTATCAGTGTTGAAAATAGTTGTGCTGCTTTATATTTATGTGGAAACTGTGATGAATAGAAAGTTGATTTGAAATCTTTTGTTGTCACGTTTGATCAATTTCATGCGTCCTTGATAATAATTTATCACAGATTAATCACAGAAGTATGTTTTAGCTTCAGTATTTCATAAATGGTCCAAACTCATAGGGAAAGTAATAGCTGACCCCACACTGCTTAATCCTGATTTGTTGTGACTCAAGTTCACAAAGCACCACTATTACAGTAATTGTATTACTTGCACACTTGACTGAGCACAACATATCAAGCATATTATCTTTTGTGTGTGTATAATGAAAGTATGAAGTATTTGTCGGGTGCTATGTTGACCAGGCGTCAAGCAGAATTGGTTTTGAACATGACCCTTGTAAGCTGACTGGTCAGCACAGCAGGAGAAGTCAATAATCAGGCCCTCCCTTCTCTCTGCCCTTTTTGTTATTTTTTCTCACTCACTCTGGGTCTGATGGTGTGGGACTCTGACTACCATTATGGTAATTGAGGCCTGCTGGTGCTGTCCAGCTGGGCTTGAGAGGAATAGCTTGTGTAATGAAGTCAGCTGTTAGGAGATATCCCCCTTCAACACCCCAATGACAAAGCTCATCCATCACCCTGCTACTGTCCGTACATTCAACCTGATCATATATCCCTGAGGTATATATATATGCTCCTCTTATTGGCTATCTTCAAAGTAGCTGCACACTGGGGGTCTTTAGGAATCGACAACATGAGAACAAATGGGTAAATCATCCATGAGAGAGTGAAGTACAAAAGTCACATTTAATACCACACAGTCAGTAGCTGTGAACATCTTTGCTTCTTATACATCTGAACATAAGTATAATCATGTATTTTAACATCTTACACAGACAGACAGACAGAAAATCATAATCAAAGCTCTGAATATGTGCTCTTGAGATAATGTAGATTATCCTCTTGTACTCTTGTCCTTATGCATCTGTTCATTTGTTAAATTGTTGTTGGAATTGCACCCAGGTGCACTTTCTCTATCTGTGACCCAAATGTCCATCTTAAGCCTGATCAATCAATAGTCACCCCTATCAGTCTTTTACAACAGAATTGGCAGTGAAGCCATTTGGGGGAGGTAATCTTGACTGTATTGATTCATTTATTGATCCACTTTTTTTGTGTAAAACGGGAACAAAGAGATTAGGTTAGGTTATTTCCAGCCCCTTCTCAACCCAAGAAGTCATCTAACTGACGCTTTTGACCATACGTCATCATCCGACATTTTAGGGTACCCTGGAGTTAGATGACGCTATCTAATCCTAACCCTAGGCTACCCCAGACCTAAACCTACCCGCGTCATCTGACTAACTTATGCTATAGGTAAAGCTTCAGTTAGATGAAACCTTTCCAAAAAACCTTTCCAAAAGCCTCGTGAAGTCAGATCAGTGATGCAAATTGAAATTTAGATTAACGAGAAAGAGAAATGAAATTCCATGCCAAGGAATTGCTCAAAAATGCTTTACAATAAGGTTCAATGTCTTACCATTAACAATGAACAACGAATTGTAACATTGTATTTATTTAGTTTATGTATTATGAATTGATATTTTACTTGATGAGCAAGTATAGAAATTCAGTAGAAGAAGCAGAAAGGGGATTATGGATATTTTAGTCCTGTTAACTTCTGTATGTCTGTCTACCTGTCACAAAGGTAAAAGTCTCCTAGTCAAGTTCAGGTCTATTTATGAAAGGTTGTTGTCCTCCAGACTCTCAGCTCATTGTGGAAGTGAGGTCTGCACTTTCACACACCCGTGAAGGTTGGGACAGATGCTGAGCCAGGATCTGGACAATAGAGAACAAAAGGGTAGATAGACAGGCAAAGAGCAGTGTGTGTGTATGTTTTGGGAGGGGCGAGGTATCCCCTCTCACCTCTGCCCTCTCATTTCTCACCTTTGACATTGGCCTAGGAAGCTCTTAGTAGAGATCCAGTGGAGGGGGCGGAGTCTCCTCTGACAGACAGGTGATGAAGCAGTCCTAAAATGAGGATGGGTGATGGTACTTCTTGATCCTCCCCCACTGTTTCCATAGCATTACGAGGGCAGTTGTTCTCGTCCCAGCTGGTCGACAGGCAGCGAGTGACGAAGTTCAAGAGAGAGAATATGACAGTATAACATCTTTCTGTCGAGAGAACCCCTTCCATTGTGTTCACCCTGGGTTATTTTTAAAAGGATAGTTCACTTTGAAATGAATTTTTGGTATGTTTTAGCTTACCTCAAGGGCATCCAAGATGTATGTGTCTTTGTTTCCGCAGTATTTTCAATTTTGATATTTTTAGGTCAGATCATTCGTGTCTATCAGTCATATAATGCAGGTCTATGGTCACCACCTCAAAGAACATGCACAGAGTAGTCCAAAATTAATGTAAATGTAAGTACAAATTGATGGCCTAAGACATGAAAGGAGCGGTTTGTGTGAGAAAGCGAACAGTTTTTATATCGGTTTTTACCTCTTGTAATCACAGCCACGTTCAAATGATCTGAAGGTGCGGGCGCTTTGTGGCTGTAGTTACAAGAGGTAAAAACGATATAAATACTGTTTTTTTTTTCTCTTACAAACCACTCGTTTCGTGTCTAAGGCCATCAATCTGTACTTACATTTACGAGTCATTAAATCATGTTTAATTTTGACTTCTCTGTGCATGCTCTTTGAGGAGGTGACCATATAGACCTGCATTATATGACTGATAGACATGAACGGTTTGACCTAAAAATATCAAAATTGAAACTACTGCGGAAACAAAGATACCTACATCTTGGATGCCCTTGAGGTAAGATAAAAAAATATTTCAAAGTGAACTATCCCTTTAATACGACAAAATGAAAGGGTTTTGACTGGTTCAGCTCAAGGGTTTTATAGGTTAAAGTTAACCTGAAAATGTATGCCATACACATCATAGCAAGTGCAAAAAATACCATTCATATTGACATGGAGCTCTTTGATTTAAGTCATTACATGTGGCTTGAAATCCAGTGATTGCTCTCAAGAATTAGTTCATTAAATTGGTTATGCGTATGAAAGTATTACACATCAAAGGCAGCCATGTTTTTTTTTTCAACAATAATAATTGATTGCACAAGTCACACAGCAGAATGAAATGAATGAGGAGGAATAGCCACCTGATCAGATTCAAGGTCAGGATCTGAGAACCTGCTAAAAGAATAACTGATCAATACATGAGATGGATTGGACACTGATGCTGTCAGTTGACCCTGGTTGTAAAGACGCAGCTGGTTAGTTGAGGAGAAAACAGACCCCAAAAAGCTGAAGCTGCTGTACTCTGATTGCTTCCTCTTTGCAGGCAAGGGAAATTGCATGTCATGAAATTATAAATCCATCTGAATCAGTCACAGATCGACATGTGCATGTGTTTTATGTGTGCTTGAGCTCTGTTTATAGCTGACTTTTAATGTTCGTTTACATGTAATTAAGAAGTTTGATTTCAGTCAGACTATAACACTAATTCGTCTTTTTAAGATGCCATATCATTTATATAGCGTAACGGAAATAGTACAAGAGCAGTTTTGGTAAATCCTTTTGACTACACGTGTTAAAATGTGAAAACCTTTTGCTAAAAGAATAAGTTTCATGCTTATACCACAGCTAAACATGTTTATAATAACATGGTGCAAAGTATCATTTTTGGAAATCAGGGCTAATAATACATCTCAACTGCTCAAAGTAACAATAGTAATAATTATACATACCAGTCAAAAGTTTGGAGTCACTTTTTACATTTAAAAAAAAAATTCTGTGAAAGAAGTATTTTATTCTTAAGGCTGCATGATAAGAAATGCAGTAAAAACAGCAATATTGAGTAATATTATTACAATTTTAAATAACAGTTTTCTGAGTAAAATTATATTTCTTATTATTATAAAAAAAAGTTTTGCTGCTTAATATTTTTGTGGAAACTGTGATACACTGCAATTCAAAAGTTTAGGGTAAATACATTTTTTTTAAAGACATTTATACTTTTATTTAGCAAGGATGCATTAAATTGATCTGAAGTATCAAGGTTTCCATAAAAATATTAAGCATTAAAAACTGTTTTCAACATTGATAATAACAAGAACTATTCTTAATACTTGAGCACCAGTAATTGATAATAATTGAGCATCAAATCAGGATATTAGAATGATTTCTTGACACTGAAGACTGGAGAAATGATGCTGAAAATTCATCTTTGATCAGAGGAATAAATCACATTTTAAAATACATTCAAGTAATTTTTATTTAACCTTTATTCTAAAATGTTGGCGAGTTGTGTATATTAGATGCCAGACAGATGCAGCATGTGTCGGATCCCTCTCAAGGCCTTTATTTAGTCCGTCCTCAGTTTAAAACATTTCCATTCAAGGATGTCTATTCATCAACATTTCTACTCGGGTTCAAGTGTGAAGTGCTTCTTGGGAGAAAGGAGAACCACAATGACGTGGCTGATGAATGACACCCCCTCCACACACACACACACACACACACACACACACCGCTGTTCATTCAGATTGCATCTGGAGGTCTGAAGTGACCTCTGTCCTATTGTGCCCTGCTATAGTTTCATTAAACACACCCTCCAGCCCCTCCCACTGCTCACTTTGACCCTAATGTCTAAGCAGAACCCAATGAAGTGTTTATAAAGGCTGCATTTTTCAGACCTACAGACCCATATGATGAATTTTATCTTTTTATGGTGGTGCTTGATGTATTGTTGTGGTATTCTAACCTCAGTTTTTATGCATTTAAGTATATTTTTTGTGCCTTTTAAAAAAATATAAAATAAAGATATCGGGTATCGGGCATTCAAAAGTTTGGGGTCAGTAAGAATTTATTGTTTATTTTGGGGGGAAAGAAATTAGAAAATACTTTTATTCATCAAGGATGAGTTAAATTGATCAAAAGTTACAGTAAAGACATTTATAATGTTAGAAAAGATAATATTTTAAATAAATGCTGTTCTTTTGAACTTTCTATTCATCATAGAATTTTGGGGAAAAAATGGTACACGACTGTTTTCAACATTGAAAATAATAATTTATGTTTTTTGAGCATAAAATCAGCATATTAGAATTTCTGAAGGATCATGTGACACTGAAAACTGATGTGTAATCAGCAACAGTAATGATGTTGAAAATTCAGCTTTCAAATTACATTTTAAAATATATTAAAATAGAAAACAGTCATTTTTAAATTGTCATAATATTTCACAATATTTCTGTTTGTCATTTTTTTTTCATCAAAAAAAGCAACCTTGGTGAGCAGAAGAGACTTCATTTAAAAACATAAAAAATCTTACTGATCTAAAACTTTTCACCGGTATATATACAATGTATATATATATATATATATATATATATATATATTAGGGCTGTGCAAAAATTAATTGCGATTAATCGCATCCAAAATAAAAGTCTGTGTTTACATAATATATTTGTGTGTGTGGAATATAATTATTTTGTATATATAAATACACACACATGCATGTATATATTGAAGAAAATGTGTTATTCATATATAAAATATTTATATTTATTATATTTATATAATATAGATTATGTATTTATAAATATATACAGAATTTAAGCGCAAATAATTCTTAAATATATACATGCATGCAAAGGTATTTATATTTACAAAATAATTATATACAGCACACACAAATATATTATGTAAACACAGACTTTTATTTTGGATGCGATTAATCGCAATTAACTTTTGCACAGCCCTAATATATATATATATATTGACAGGCACAAAAAAGACTAGTTTATATATATAAAAGTTTTACAATGTAATTCTATCAAAACCAAGCTTTAAAATGAGTCTATATATATATATATATATATATATATATATATATATATATATATATATATATATATATATATATACTACACTCTAAAAAATGCTGGGTTGTTTTAACCCAACTTTGGGTCAAATATGGACTAACCCAGCCGTTGGGTTAAATTTTTACATTACATTTTTAACCCAACATTTCGGGTTTGTCCATATTTGACCCAAAATTGGGTTAAAACAACCCAGCATTTTTTAGAGTGTATCATTTAAACATCCAATGAAAAAAACTACTAATAATAATGATAAATAAATAAATAAAATAGAGAGTTATATAAAAAAGTAATTCATCTAATGCATATTTCATTCTTATTTTAGAGGTGCCCATATCTTTTCAAAATGCTTTTGCTCTTGATTTATTTATTTATAAGAGTTTAAGCGAACTTACTTTCCTTATCAGTTGATTCTGAAGTAGATTTTAAAAGAAATCTTTTCATTTTTAATTCTATTTTAGATATTATTCAGGGCACAATGATGAAAAACAACAATCAGCCGTGAAACCAAATTAAACATCTTCTGTGCGGCTCATATTGATCTGCCAAATCTATATTTTTGTCCAACGGTTTTAGAAATGTTGACCTCTTTTGAAGGGGGAGCTTCACTGTTTTAAAAATCGGTGCCTGATTAATGGCTCTCTATTGAAATAGGGTTCCCTTTGACCTATGACCCCCCACACCTCCACAGAGCACTTCGGACCCTCTTCCCAGGGAGAAGGGGTTTGGTCTGGGGGTGTCTGGTTGTGGTGGGTGTCAGTAGATCAATGAGATGCATAGTCCTGGGGTCTGGAGAGCTCTACATATATGCATGGCCATTGTGCGGACACTGAAGAGGTGTCAAGCAGAACGATGAACTGTGACGCCGGCTGAGCCAGACGAGCGGCTGATAGAAAGCACAAAATAGAGTTTAAGTTCAAGTTTTGATTTTTGAATTGAGTGCATTTATAAGGGCCATAACATGGTAAATATTAATGTATAGATGTTAAAGAAATGTATCTCTGGTTCTCATCTGAAATGAGCTTTCTCTCTATCATACTGTCATTTTTATTTTAAATCAAAACAGACTCATTTTAAAGCTATTCATATCATTGTCTTGGTTTTGATAGAATTACATTGTAACACTTTACAATAAGGTTCATTTGTTCACATTCGTTGATTGTATTCATTAACATGAACTAAGAGTGAAAAATACTACAGCATTAATTCATATTAATGTTAATTTCAACATTTACTAATACTTTATTAAAATCAAAATTTGTATGTGTTTTAATGGATCTGAATAATGAACAAACAATGACCAGTTGTATTTTCATTAACTGATATTATCAATGATTAATAAATACTGAATTATAATGTTTATAATAATGATAATACTTTAGTTAATTAATGCATTAACTAAAGTTAACTAATTCACAGTATTGGAAAGAAGTGTTTCTAAATACATTATTAAATTGGTTAAATAAATAAATGTCTTTGTTTTTTTTTTGTATAAATTAGATACTATTATAGTTTTAATTATTGTATTTTACTTTTAATTGAAATTTTTGTTAAAGTTTTAGCAATCTTGTGTTTTTTGAATGTTTATTAGGTTTCTTTTTTTTTAAGTTTTTAGTAATTTTTATTTCAGTTTAGTTTTAGTTATTTTAGTACATCAAGTTAAGACTAAGTGAAAATAAGACTTGGCAGCTAGCTGACATAAAATAAGAATAATTTAAGTTTTTAAATATGTTATTTCAGTTAACATTTATTTTATTTCAAGTAATGGCTTTATTGGTAACACTTAACAATAAGGTCTCATTTATTAACATCAGTTAATGTATTAAACTAACCATGAGCAATACATTCGTTTGTTAATCTTTGTTAACGTTAATTAATAAAAATACGTTGTTCATTGTTCGTTCATGTTAGTTCACAGTGCATTAATGTTAACAAATACAACATTTGATTTTAATAATTAGTAAATGTTGAAATGAACAAAGTGATGCAAATCCAGAAGTGCAGTTCATTATTAGTTTATGTTAAGTAATGTACTTAACCAATGATGAAACTTTATTGGAAGGTATCGCTGTTTGAGTTGTACTTGAATGCTAACCCTGTGCTTGTCTCAGCTCCTCCAGAGTTCCTGCAGTGGCCGCAGTCGGTGTCGAAGGCAGCAGGGGGCAGTGCAGTGTTCACGTGTGTGGCTCAGGGTGTTCCTGAACCTCATATCATATGGCTGAAGAATGGAAAGCTACTCATGCCTGGTGATAATGTCAAACTCACCAACAATAACAGGTACACACAGTTAGGAGACTCGGGAATACACAAAATTACTGCTGAAATACAATTAGCCATAAAACCTTAAGATATACTGCCTATAAACACAAAGTACACCAAAAAAAAATCATATTTTTTTATGTTTAGGTGCATATTTAGATTTTTTTTCCCAATTTTATTTTATCTTTAACGGTTTTCTACTTTTTGAGTAAGAACATATAAAAACAATATTTTAGCTGCTTAATGGAGCCTTTCCTCAGACTGCGATGACTCGTTCCCACAGTAATCAACATTGCAAATCGAGTAAATATTTCTAGTATTTTCATGTTTAAAAAATGTAATACAAATTTATAATGCTATATTTAACGTTTTATTACTTTGGCATTAAATGACTGCTGCGATGGTGTTTCTAATACAAATGTCAAACATGACATCTTTCTCTCTTCTGACCAACGTTAAATATCTCGATATTTTTTCCCTCTTTTGAAAAAGTCTTGGATTGTTTTCTTTAGCTATTGGAGCAAATGGGAATAAAAAAATATATATTTGCAGTCATCCCCCATTCACTACTATAGAAGTTTACCAAACTATGACGACTTCAGCTTCTGAGAACCCCAGAAATATAAAAAGGGTCCATTTACCCTTGAAAATATCTGGTGTCATTACAACCTCTGTCCACTAGATGTCAGTGTTCACCTGTTTTATATTCTGTCATCCAAACTGTAATGTGCAATATCTGGCCCTACTAGCATTTTCACCCTTTGTCACGCACGTCACATATTATAGTCTATTGGTTTTTAATGATCATATTAACAAAACGTGCAAGCGTTCTTTTGCCTTTTTAAGTTAGATAGACATTATATAAGAGTTTCATGGTATGTTTTAGTGTTGGTAACATGTCCCACATTGTCCCACACTTGGTTTGTTTGATGGTGGTCACCCTATCTGTAAATGTTAACAAAGTCACAACATTTTCACAGTTTAGATTTTTGTAAAATAATTGTTTTTAGCACCCTGGCCGTGACTCGCATCACATCAGAGGACGAGGCCATATACCAGTGCATCGCTGAAAACTCTGCCGGCACTAACCAGGCCAGCGCTCGTCTGGCTGTTTCCCTGGCCAAAGAGCTGCCCGATTCCCCTCAGGGCCTGAAAGCCACGGCTCTGTCTAAAACCACCCTGCAGCTCTCCTGGAAACAGCCGCCGGCTGAAATCACAGACGGGATCATCGGATACGTGCTGCACATCCGCAAGTATGGCGGTAAGTGCCTCTGGAGTTCTGGGCTCCACTTCAGACACACATTCGCAAACTTCCCTAAGCACTAAACACAACTTTATCAAGTTGGCGAAGGACGCTTAAATGGACAGACCCTTGACTCCTCCATTTTGAGTCTACTCAATATTTACTGTTCAGTAAAACAGATCCATAAACCACAATGCAACACGATTGTCACAGCAGATTGAGCTTAATTTACCCCCACTCCATACAACCAATAGCTAATGCACGACATGTTTGTTTTCAGAGCCTGAGAGTAAAGAACTTCAGGAGGCAGTGAGTAAGACAACATTTCAGCATGACCTCACAAACCTTGAACCTGCGACCACCTACTCCATCTACCTGAAGGCCTACTCTCCTCTGGGTGCCAGTGAACGCTCCAGTACTGTGGTTTCCACAACACTAGGGGGCGGTATGTAGCTACACACTGTGTGCTGTTTGGTTCATGTTCAACTCTTCCTCCAGCTCCCTAGCTGTCTCTTCTCTGAGCCATGTCAGCATTTTTAGCTCCCTCTGTCCACACATATGTCCTTTTCCTGTGTTGTCACAGATGTATGAGCATTGCTTCCTTTTTGCCTACCCAGCTTAACAGAATTAACTTGGACAGTGTTCCTTATTGCTCTGAGCTGATTATAATGGTTTTTCTTTCTCTATCTCCCATCTAGTCCCCAGTCCACCTACATTTTTCACCAAAGCAATAAACACCACAGCAGTCCAGGTCCTTTGGGAGCTTCCCAGTAAGCCTGGGAAAACTGAGGGTTTCCGTCTGTCATACCGCAGGGTTCCTCATGGAGAGATCCTGGGGCCGATTGAGTTGCCATACCATGTTAACGCTCACACCTTCTCTCATCTCGGTGAGGGATAACGGTTTCTGTTTGTGTAAACTATGTTGATTCAACAATAGATGCAATATATATTTGCAGACGCCGTACGGTTTGCTGTTTTCTTTTACAATGCAATTGAATTCATAAATTTGAAATATATGCTAAGTCATATAGTCATATATTAAGAGCATGTTTTAAGTAAACCTTAATATTGTTTTGCAATTATATTGTGAAAGTGCAATACAAAAAAGGGGTTTCAGTTTTATATAACATTACTTTGATAGTGGGGAGAAAAAGATATAATTTACAATAAAAACAAAATCCAATTATTTAATTTAGCAAAAAACAAAACATGTCTTTATAATACGTTTTTTTTTATAACTGAAAATGTTTATATATGAAGAGTTCAGATGCAAAAGCCTCTAAGTGCCATTTGAAATTTTCTTCTAGAATGATAATTTTTATCAAGCTTGTATATTTAAGTTCAGTGATTTCACTTAAATGGCAATGATAATTACCTATTAATTGTTATTTAAGTGAGATTACTGAACTTAAATATACAAGTTTGATAAAAATCATCATTAAAGAAGAAAATTTCAAATGGCATTTAGAGGCTTTTGCATCTGAACTCTTCATATACATATATACATATACAGTATATATATATATATATATATATATACCTTCATATTTTTTTGACAAATGTGGATCATTTTTTGGTTGTTTGGCATTAATAGGTCTACTTTTCAAGTCAAGAGCTTTATTGTCATTGGTCCTGTAGTACAATCCAATTCTTATTTTGTTACGCATTTCTGTAGAATTTTCCCACATAATCAGCACAAAAAAGCCATCAGATTTCATCTACCCCTGCTTATTTTGACGTTTTATACTGAAAACTCTCTCGCTTCTCTACTCAGGCTAAATGACCTGTTTGAGCACCTCTGAAGAAGCCATTATGTTTGTACAGTGATGGTTGAAATGTTCTGAAATATATAGTGCTAGAGAACAAACACTCCTCTAAAAATACTATTACGTGAAAAAGTGTGAGTTTCAGGAAACTCAGAAAGGAGTGAAAATTGAGATGATGAAAGCAAGATCATACATCACGTACAAATAAAGGTGCCAAAGTGAAAGAAGGAGCATAATAGCCAGGTTTCACACCAGACCTCAATCCCCATGACTCAGCTGATCAATAGCTCTATGGTGACTGACTGCAAAGTCAACAAAACCAGCTCAGTGTATATGTGTTAGACCTAGACACGAATGCATGTGTATCTTTGATTGATTTGCAGTGTGTGCGATACTGACCGATTACATTTTTTCCCCATAGACCCCGGCGCTGTGTATGAAGTCAAACTGGTGGCCTACAATGGCAATGGAGAGAGTGACTGTTCAAAGAAACTGGTGTCACTGGCCGAAGACGGGACTAGCGCTAAAACCAGAGCAGGTAAAGCTGCTTTTGCTTTGGCACATGAGTTCATTATTTTAAAGTGCACTGTATAATGACCATGTTCTGTGGTTCAGGAGAGGAAACTCACTGTGACTGCAGGGGTGTAGAGAGCTCCGTCAGCAGTATTGTGATTGGCATCCACATCGGCATGGCCTGCATCATTTTCTGCGTGCTCTTCCTCATGTTCGGATATCGGCGCAGGTAATGGAGCTTTTGGTTAGATGATGTCATGAAACTACATGCACAAATTTTGCAAATATTTTCCTATTAATTCACTTCACAAATATAAAATGTAATAATATTAAAATAAGCATAATAAATGCATACCACTATAATGCTATCTATCTATCTATCTATAAATATATGTATAAAGAGAGCGAGAGAGAGAGTCAGTTTCAATTTCCATTCAAATATAAGAAAAATATTTTATAACCCTAACCCAAAACACTAAACTTGGTTTAGGTATTTATCTGACAAAATTATTTTTGGAAAGGCAAACTACAGCTACAGGGTTTTTTTTATTATGCAAAAAAAGCATAGAAAAACAAAAAGCTCACAGTAAAAGGCATGCATTGACTACAACATAATCAGTTATTAAAATTTCATTGGTTCTTGGTTTTTGCATGTGTCAGGGATGTGATTTTTCCGGATTAATCCGGAATTCCGGATTTTCCGACCTGAAAATGTGACCTACGTGAATCATGCAGATCTGTAAAAAAAAAAAAAAAAAACTCTGTACATTTTCCTGCTTTTTTGTCCTTAGCCAATCACATGCCTGATGTGTTCATAATTAATAATGTCACACAATATGGCATGTTTCATTGTGTTATTACAAATAAAACTATTGACTCCAAGCACAACTAGCAATATACTTATATTATACTTACTTATAATATTTGAATTAAGGATGCGAGATGTCAATTTCACTTGGCCGGACATCACTTTTGGCCACTTCTGTAGTTTAATAAATATGATATAAATACGTTAATAAATGCATTCACATTTTTTCTCAGTTTCCTCTGTAGGAAAGGGACTCAGGACAGCTGGTCTGTGCCACAGGGCGAAGATGGAGGACCTCATTCTCAAAGCAATGGCATCCCAAAAGAGGGAGTAACACGGCCTGCTCAGGGCATTGAGTTAGTTCCTCCGGTAAGACTATCATCTGTGGTCTTGCTTCTCAGTGCATTAGAACTGAGAATAAGCTGTCTTTAGCAGATTGTCTATTTTTGCAGATTGTCTATTTTTAGAGAGTGTGTGACTCACCAGTTTGATCAGCAGGAAAGTTGTTTTGCTGCCAAAAGACTTTTACACCTTGTCTGTTAACAGAGTTTATATCATCAGTAACAATACCTAGCTTTAGCATCTCAGGCCCTGTTTACACCAGGTATTAACTTAAGATGCGTTTTGATTCGATTGGATCACAAGTGGACGAGGTTTGAGCTTTTCTACTTTTAATCACTTCCAAAAGTAGACAATGCATTCGACCAGATTGCTCATGTGGTTAGCACAAGGCTGTTTGATCTCCTATTTACATCTGCAAGACGTATTTTAAAGAATGTTTGCTCATCTGCAAGACGTCTATAGGACGTTT